ATGACTTAGTTTCTCATTGTTATGACTTAGTTTCTCATTATTATGACTTAGTTTCTCATTGTTATGACTTAGTTTCTCATTATTATGACTTAGTTTCTCATTGTTATGACTTAGTTTCTCATTATTATGACTTAGTTTTTCATTATTATGACTTAGTTTCTCATTGTTATGACTTAGTTTCTCATTATTATGACTTAGTTTTTCATTATTATGACTTAGTTTCTCATTGTTATGACTTAGTTTCTCATTATTATGACTTAGTTTTTCATTATTATGACTTAGTTTCTCATTGTTATGACTTAGTTTCTCATTATTATGACTTAGTTTCTCGTTATTATGACTTAGTTTCTCATTATTATGACTTAGTTTCTCATTATTATGACTTAGTTTCTCATTATTATGACTTAGTTTCTCATTATTATGACTTAGTTTCTCATAATAATGACTTAGTTTCTCATTATTATGACTTAGTTTCTCGAAATAATGACCTAGTTTCTCATTATTATGACTTAGTTTCTCGAAATAATGACCTAGTTTCTCATTATTATGACTTAGTTTCTCGAAATAATGACCTAGTTTCTCATTATTATGACTTAGTTTCTCATAATAATGACTTAGTTTCTCATTATTATGACTTACAGAATTATATTTTTTTATTTAGTGGCGGAAACGGGCTTCCATACTTTTCAGATCAAGCCGTTTGTAGCATTTTTCTTTAAATGTTAATGAGCTCTGCTGTCCCCGCCCCTCTCTTCCAAGCTGCTCTCAGAGAGACCGTTTACTTTAGCCGCATCGTGAAACTTGCTAATTAGCACATTACTAGGAAAGGCGATTTGCAAAGATTTATTACAAAACATACTCACTTCTGTAGATGAGGCTGGATCATGAATGACGCGCGAACATAGACGCATTTATGTAGATCGGGGGCGCATTCCCTTCAGAAACAATGTAATCCACTGCGAGTTCAGCGGCTCAGATTTCGGGAGTAATTGACGACTGCTATGCTCAAAATTACATCCAACAACAGAACACCTCAATCGCTTAGGAGTCATTCTTGTCTACATCTGCTCCGGCGGTGAAACAATGGCGGACTGATGACAGTCACTCAGGGCGGGTCTAAGGTAAGATGCCAGTCCAGTCTGCGCTGAAACGCTACTGTCAATCAAACTATCGTGGGAGGGGTCTGTCTGTGTGATGTCACACAGAACGGCATCTGAGATCGGCTCGATTTGAGAAAGGGGAAAACATTTAACCAGATTAAAAAAAAAAACACTGGGTGGGTTTTTATCATTATAGGGTGGTTGTGTACACACACTGCCAACACACATTTCTGTTCAAACAACTTGTAAAAGTGCATGTAGCATCCTATGACCCTATAGTGGATTAAGGGATCTAAAATGCGGTCATGCAGGCATTAATATGTGCTTTATAAGTACTAATAAACAGACAATATGGTAGTAATATGCATGCTAATAAGCAACTAATTAATAGCTAAAAGTGTTACCATTTTGTCTTTAAAATAAATCTTGTAAATAGGATTTTTAAGGATGAGAATTTATTTGCAACAATGAATGTAATGATTCCAGACCCCACTCGGACTCTAGTACTAGTAGTTGTTCAAGGGATAAACAATCTTACATTTTGGATTCAAATTACACCAATCTACATTTTTATCTAACTGGCTTAACTAATGGAAAAAAATACATATAATATCAGCAGAATAGAATTGGGACTGTTTAATAGCCACTGACAATAATAATAATAATAAATCAAATTCTGAAACAAGAAAATGACAAAAAAAAACAGGACAGAAATGTGCTTGTGGTCCCTTTGGGAAGGGACTGAGTTGCATTCTCTTTAGTAACCTTTAAAGCTACAAAAAAAAACTTTGTAATTAGCTCATACAATTGTTTCACCCTACAAGAATTAATAGTGCATGAATATAAAATGAGGAGCTCAGGTGACGGGTACTAATAGTTTAACTGCCTGCAATTGATTATGTAGACTCTGGTGAAACTAGCTGTGAAATGGCCATTTTGAAGATGTTGCACAAGGGAAATGATTCATTAATAAATAAGTGAAGTGAAAAAAGACTGACTATTATTGTTTTTACTAATGCAAGATTCTGCAGAATTTGACCCCTTCTCAAACATACTTCATTTTCAACGATATGAAACCCCCCCCCCACCCCACCCCACAATGCAATAGTTTTATTTGTGCATGCTTTCATGATATTACCAATAAGACCAAAACAATTTTCAGCATGTTTATTTATTTATTTTTATTTTATGTATTTATTTACTTTTTTGAGAATCATATATTAAGAATAAAAAGTAACAATTTGATTTGCAACCTACATCCTCAATTTCAGGAAGATACAAGAGCTTAAAGGAATATATCACACAAATGAAAATTCTGTTATAATTTACTCACCCTCATGTCTTTCCAAACCTGTATGACTTTCCTCCTTCTGTGTAACACAAAAGGAGTTATTTTACCTAATGTGCAAGCTGCTCTTTTCCATAAAATAAAAACAGATGTCGATTTACATTGGTGAGCTCCGAAAAGCACCATAAAAATAGCCCACATGAGGTTATATTTCAAGACTTCTAAAGTCATACTTTAGCTTTGTGTGAGGAAGAGATTGATATTGCAGCTATTTCTTGAAAATCATCCACCCATTGTAGCTCTTAAAGTCAAACCTGATGAGACACGTCTTGAGGCACCACTTTCGATTGCAGTTTGATTTTAAAGAGCCACAATGAAATGTGTCTGTTTAAAATCACATTTTCATTAAGATGTTATTGTGATGTATTGCCTTTAGCAATAATAAATCTCTGTACTCCACAGTACAAAGAAAATGAAACGGAGGTGAGTAAATGAAGACAGAATTTTCATTTTTGTGATATACTGACTGAATCGTTATTTAGTCATGAACAACACAAAATATGTAGAAATGCCGTGCCAATGCAAGTTTCGACTTGTGGTAAATGTCTTTCGAAATAACTGTAATTATTTGGAAACAAGCGTTGGATCCTTGAAGCTGAAGTCACAGACGAGGGAGAGGTGATCTGAAGGGTAGTTATAGGAAGGAAGCCTATTGGGTCCGATTTGTTCGACTGTAGGAAGGTCCAGAACCGCATTAACATCAAACGCTCTGTGCGAATACCACACGTAATCCAGCGTGTGGCAGCTCTCGCCACTGGGCCGGATCTTCCAGGTTGTGTAAGGTGGCTCGGTTTTCCCGTCTGTACTTAAAAGCTTATACGCACTGTCCAATCCCAGACTGGATGTTGCGAAATTCCTATAGACGTCTTCTGATGGCTCGGCATTAAAATCGCCACATACTATCAATGGAACGTTGGTATCTGCTTTTTCTTCTGTCTTGATTCTATGTGCAACGCTTCGTAGGTTTCGTAGCAGATCCAAACCCTGAGCGCTGCGTAGGACCTCCCAACCACTCCGCGCTTTCAGATGCGTTACCGTGACGCAAAACGCCCGTCCGGTTGCTTGGCAGCGTAGAGCAGCGATGATTGCCACCTGATTGGTCTTCAACATCATGGCGGACAGACGTAGGTGTGTTGTGTTTAGTAACTGGAAGCGTTTGGGATTGAAGAACAAAGCACAGCCATCTGGGCCATTGTTGTTTTCCACATCCAGGCATGGAGACCACGGTTTGGGGCAGAAACTGCTCTGGTAGCCCAAACTTGCCAGAATGGGCTGAAACATGTCAAAGTAGTGATCAACTTCCTGTAGGCAAATGATGTCAGGTCTGTAGGTTAGGATCTCCTGCAGGATCAAATACTTCCTTTCAGCCCAGTTCAGAGCATCCATGGGGCACTGCACAAAACTGTCCATGCCTTCACCTAATGCTGCAACAGGACAGAAGGAAGTTGGAAAAAAATATAATGTTAATCCAAACTGAAGAAATTCCAAACATTTAGAACTGGCTTAGAACTTGCTTTGTTTCTTGTGGCAGTGTTATTTTAATATCATTGAGATGTTCTTACAGTTTTTATTAATATTCTTGAATTAGTTTTATTACTGAATTATTTAATTATTTTGATATTTTCAGTTTTCATTCAATTTTGTTGTTTTTATAATAATAATAATAATAATAAAAGTAAAAATTATAATTATTTTGGCAATTCGATTACTGATCAATACTGATCTGATAAACTGATCAAAAGTAACAGTAGAGACTTTTACATTGTTCCCCCCCCCAAAAAAAAATCAAATGATAAAAAATTCTAATAAATGCTGCTCTTTTGAACTTTCTATTCATCAAAGAACCATGAAAGTATCACAGTTTCCACAAAAATATTAAGCAGCACAACTGTTTTTTGTTTTTGAATATTAGAATGATTTCTGAAGGATCATGTGACACTGAAGATTGGAGTAATGATGCTGAAAGTTCAGCTTTGCCAACTCAGGAATAAATTACATTTTAAAATATATGAAAATATAAAAACTGCAATATTTCACAATGTTACTATTTTTACTGTATTTTTGATCAAATAAATGCAGTCTTGTTAAGAGCATAAGAGACTTCTCCAAAAGTCTTACAGACCCCAAACTTTTGAATAGTAGTGTATATCATTTAAAACTTTAGTCGTATGTCCTTCATTGTCATTTCTTTATGAAGATGAAGGTTTATACCTTGTGCCAGTACATTCCACTGCATAACTCTGATCGTCTGCCTGGCGTCTCCATGCCCAGTCTGAACGAAAGCTCTCTGCAGCTGGGCTGGCCGCTTTCTCAGAACCTCTCTACATTCTTGCAACAGCTCCAAAGGGTCCGCCGGGTCTTGATCCAGATCCAGATCGTTAACCGGACTGTATGTGGAGTCACACCGGTGTGGGAGAGGAGGTCTGCTGATGGTCTTAACCAGGGCACTGTGGAGACTGCTAGTGCTGCTGCCCATGGAACATACTGAGAGAAACAAGAGTTGTCACACAAGGATCTTTCCTAATTTTTAATTCTCTTTAGAGGAAAAAAAAAAGAAAAAAAGAACAACTTCTGGTCGCGTTGCTGCAAATAGCTGTCAGTCTGAACACACTTTACATTCTATCCTGTATCTTCTTCAGATACTAACACATGGTTAAATCATTTATATTGAGAGCAGCAAGTAGGACCGGCCAGACACGAGTTGTTAAAGACATGTCGCACCCAGAGCTGAGAGGAGTTAATAATAATATTAACTATAGATAATAGATAAATAGATAATAGCTCCATTGATAACACAGTCTCAGCAGGAATGTGAAATAACGAATTACAAATACTAACATTACTGTAATTAGGTATTTTTTGTTCAATCAGAAATTGTACTTGTTTTGAGTGGTTTCAAAATTGTGTACTTTTACTTGAGTACATTTTAAGTGATGTATCTGTACTTTTACTCCGCTGTTTTCCCTCCGTTTGTAGTCCTTACATGCTTGCTTTAATTAAAAAAAAATTTCCATTAAAGGTGACATATCATGAAAATCTGACATTTCCAGGTTTTAATTGCTATAATCAGGTCCCCGGTGCATCTACCATTTAAGGAAATATGAAAAAGATTAACCCAGTAACTTTGTTTTGGGAAGCCTTTTTCGGCAAGCGTCTGAGAAAACAAGCGCGTCTGATTACACTCCCTTGGTGACGTGGCAAAGGGATCTCGTTATAATATCACCGCACCTTAATCTGTAAATGTAATACACCCACAGCGCCATCATTGTGTTTTTGCAAGTGACAACGGTGTACCAGCTCTAATGCCATGGCGAAAGTTTGAGCAAAACATTCTAACTGTTCTGCCTTTGGCTGCACAGACGAGCACAGAACACTAACATTACTTAAGTCCCAGCCTCAGAGGAGACAAGAGAGCAGAGGATTTATTGATTTATTTACTGTATATTGCTGCTGCCACACAGTTCTAAAATAAACCTGCGATTTATTTCCCAGCAGTTTACCTTCACAGACATAACCAACTGTTTTTAAGGTAAACTTGTGTGTGAATGAGAACTTAGTTTAGTACTCGCTGTGTGGTGGCCGCTTTCTGTCCCGTGTGCTTTCGGATATGTGCGCTTAGAAAACGTATATCAGAAGTGTAAACTCATGTGGTTTAAAACGCATGATTTCAGAGCGATAAACATGATAATCAGAACCAAAACAGATGTTTTTAGCAGGTGTGCAGCTCTATTCTGGAAAAGGGGGCGGGGAGGAGCAGCTAATTTACATTTAAAGAGACAGGCCCGAAAAACAGCATGTTTCTGCTTCCACTCAAAATAGGCATTTTCAAAATGATATAATAAATTATCTGTGGAGAATTTTGAGCTGAAACTTCACAGACACATTCTGGGGACACCAGAGACTTATATTATATATTGTAAAAAGGGGCATAATATGTCTCCTTTAACGTGATTGGATAGAGAAAGTAATCGGTTTTGTGACTCATCCAATTGCGCATAGAACAATTTTACCGCAAACTGCTGTTAATCATGGCTGCTGGAAGTGCATTCTTCAAGCATCAACTCAGTCGAGTTATCAGCATCTCCCTCTAACTTGTAACACTCCAAAGAGAAAGGAAAAATTGAAATCGCATCATATGACAACTTTAAGGTAAATTTCGGATTTCTGCTTACTAAATGATCTGTATATGCTTGCCTACTGACATGGCATGAAATTTGGTGTGAGGTTGCGGGTATTGTGTACAATGTTAATAACTCCAGCAAGTGTCATGTTCATAATCAACTCCCATTGACTTCAGTAGAGAGACGCGCGATCTGCAATGCCACGTCTCTCCCTCGCGTGCATCCTGCAGCAGTCACTTGGAGAAGTTGGCAGCTTGTTGACTCCTGATGAGTTTAAGCATGCGATGTGCGTAGTGAAAAAGTGTGTTGGGATCACTCTAAAACACTTGGAAATAGTGTACTGAAATTGGAGGATCAGATTCAGTATGCACCTTATTGATGACCCGTGGCGTTAATATACTGCATCTGTGTCAGTTTCAATTGTATAAAATCCGCCTTCATTTAGCAAGTGCAAATTTTTTTTCAAGTTTCCCCAGAAATACATCCCTATTTGATTAAATTTTTTCCCCCTTACAAATTGTTTAATCAGCATAACAATTTGAGTGAATGTGTAAAAGGTAGTGGATGATGCCCTCCTTCTAGAACAATGTGCATTTATGTTTAACATAAATTATCATGTTTATGATTCTCATTTCTTATTAAAAAAACACTAAAACTGCCACCGTTTAGGATAGAAATTGGCTCTTTTTAACCCATCTCATGGTGTGTGATGCTGAATCCTCGTGTGAGTTTCTAATGGTTTTTGCATTCTTTGCACTGTTCTAAACATTAATATTTTATGTGCAACAATAGCATGATCTGGTTCAGTGGCCTGATTTTAAATCTATTTTTTCAAACTTTACGGTTTAAATGGTGATGAGTGTACTGAGAATAACTCTTTCATCAAATGTTTTAATAGTTTTTCCATGTTGTTTTGATGTAATTTAAAGAGTTGGCAGTCAAAATTAAAACTGCTGGATGATATATATTCTTCATTCTTCAAAAGTGTTATAAATAAGAGATGGTGTCATCTGTTTAATGGTGAATGTCTCTAACATTGTGGCTTGGCATCCAGGAAGCTGGGCAAGGTTACAACATAAGCGGTTTATACATTCACAATAACCTGTAGCAAGTTCCGTCACAAATTTGATGTTACTAAACCAGCACATGATCATGATATGCATCATAACACAACATCGATAATATTAAAATATCTAACAAAAAAAGTACAATGGTTAAATCTACTGTACACTAACTTTCAAAAGTTTGAGGTCAGTAAGATAAAAAAAAGAAAAATAAATTAATACTTTTATTCAGCAAGGAGACACTAAAATGATTGAAAAGTAACAGTAAAGACATTTATAAAGTTACAAACGATTAATATTAGGAATATAAAATCGATTAATCGCGATTAATCACAACCAAAATAAAAGTTTGTTTACATAATATATGTGTACTGTATATATTTTTGTGTATGACATACATGTATATATTTAAGAAATATTTCTTAAATATAGACATGTATGTATTAATCGCAATTAATCCCACCCAACATTAAAGTTTTTAAATATACTTTTATATTGCAATAATTTCACATTCAATCTTCAAATTAAAGTAAAAACAACATAAAGGCAGTATATTTTTAATATTTGTTTAATAGCATCTTTTTTTTAAGACTGAAGGGAAGTATCACAGATACCAATATTACTGATGTCTGTATGTCTCTATTCTTTCCCCCTAATATTTAACCGTTGACTATAGCCAGTCAACATTATAGTATAATTGAGAGCTATCAATTTTAACATTTATTAAACTTAAAAAAATAACAACTTCTAATTTATGTGAACTTACAATAATCTTAACACATAAACCCATTATAATAAATGTCATATTTAGCTACCTGTGCCCTTCAGCAAGTAGGAATTATACAGAAATTGAATAAAGTTATCAAACTCTAAATTAAATATAGTCATATAGATGAATCCTTAAAGCTACAAAAGTGATTGATTTCCTCTTTTTTTCCTTTGTTCTTTTATTAACAGACATCACAGCAGCTGGGTCATTAGGTGTTTTGGCTGCTTTAAGAAAAGTCTCCCATTTGATGTGGTCATAAAGACGTTCTGTGTCTAAATAAATGCAATTCTTGTCAAGAAAAAAAGAGACAGAAGCAGCAGTAGTGAGTGGGGTAGCCAACCCTAGCTCCGCCCCTGCGTTAATTGCATTAAATATAATTAATATTTATACATTTTCTGTTCATCAAAGAGTCCTAAAAAAACTGCATCAAAACTTCCACAAAAATATTAAGCAGCACAACTGGTTTCAACATTGATAATTATAATCATCTTATTTCTGAATAATTTAGTGAAACTGAAGACTGGACTAAGAAATGACTGCTGACAATTCAGCTTTGCCACCACAAGAATAATTTAACATATATTAAAAGTGAAAACAGTTCTTTTAAATTGTAATACTATTTCATAATATTACTATTTTACTGTATTTTTGATCAAATAAATGCAGCCTTGGTGAGTGCCGCTTCTTTCACAAACATAAAAAAAAAATCTTACTGACTCTATTCTGGGGATTCTGGCTCCCATGGAAAACTAGAAAAAATATATAAAAATACATGTTCAAATTGTGATTTACAGGCCTGCAAAAGCCATGGAAATTTATAAAATATTTAAAAGTCACAGAAATTATTTAGTGAATAAACATTTTTGTAGTTGCACAGCTAGAAAGGCTAGAATTGTTTTCTGATATAATCTATAAGCAATCTATAAGTAATTACAAATAATAACTTCATTATGGAAATTTCTTTGGTCGAAAGGTGCAGTACCATTCACCATGGAAATACCATGGTATATGAATATGGTCCTATGCATTCAGTATATCACAGTATCATAACACTGCAATTTGACACCATCACTCTACCACTGGCAAAGTACATTTTTGGAAAGGAATGTAAGGGAATATCATATCTATCAGGACAATATTGTGCTAATATACCTTAGTGTCACTCAACATGAAGTTTGAGGTCATGGTTAAAAGTCACAGATCAAAAATAGCTTCATCCACACAAACAGAACGAGGGGAAGTATGCAACACTATTATTATAGATGCAGGATTAGATCAACTTGATTCTACTGAAGGGTTAACATGGCACTGTAAGAAAAAGATCCTCCGCATATGGGCATGTTGTAATAAATGAAGACATCAGCTCTTATCTCATTCTAGCTTCATTCATGAGATTAATCAGATCTCCTGCAGTTTGACTCCTAATTAATCTGCTTATCTGTACCATAAAAGATGCTGTTTACTTGCAAGTGACAGCTGAAGGGGTCATGGAAAATTATATAAAATAAGATATGAGATTTGTGTTTCAGGGTACATAAAGTGCCCGTTTATACTTGACCAATTAATGCATGTTTACTGATTTCATAACTATCTGACCATGAAAAGGCTATGGATGCATCTAAATATGCACACTCCCCTACTATATAGTAAGTGAAAAACAGTATGGGAAAAAAGCAGTATGTCAGAGTTCACAGTATTTATAAAACAGTAGGTGAAAAGTACCCGGATGACCTACTAATTCCGGCAAGATTCTGGCAAGTGCACATCTGATTGACACTTTACTATCCCATGAGTCCACAAGAGAGGAGTTGTGAATAGCAGTGTAGCGACAATGACAAATGTAGTACATCCATATTACATTCATACTACACACATTCATAACATACTTTTTAACAGTCGTGAAGTGTAGATGGAATGTGTCAACTCAATTGGATAACAAGTTAATACACTCATAAGTTGTTCTGATAGTTAACATCCATTCACACCAAGGACGATAACTATAACTATAACAATAACTGTAAATAATATAAAGTTTTAATACACATACTAATTCTACGAGAATAGGGAAGTTCACACCACTATAACGAAAATTATAGTGGGGGGGGGGGGCAGTTGAGTTAGGGGGGGTGCCCGAAGCATGAATCTGTATTCAGAAAACGATTGCTAACGGTTGCCTGTTACATTACAGTACATAAAATTTCACTTACCACATAAACAGAGAAAGGAGAGATGACTGAGGACGATGGCGAATGAGTTGCAGATCCTCAGCACCACTGACAAACATCTAATCTTGTAAAATGTGTTGTAAGTGCTGCCACTCCATGGTATAAACAGAATACGTGCGATCGCGAATCTCGAAAGTGAAAGTGAAACTAAAAAGCGATCATGCATTCAAAAGCAGTTTCAATGCCAGGCATAATAGTGGCTCCTTGATGCCCCCAATCTATATACAGTATAATTACCCAATGATATAACTGCGAGAGAAATTATTAAAATATGTATTTTCCTCCCATCGCAAATTTATTCCTTTTAGGCGTTCCGTATTACATGTCATTTTCTTTCCGAACACGGTATTGGGATGCGCCGGATTGCGGGGTGTGTGTGGGGGAGAATCACGATGTTAGCTCAACATCGTGATGTATATCAGCCATCGGCGATAGATGATGGCATCGTCTATCGGCCCAACCCTAGTAATGACAGAACAAGGGTAACTTTAATGTCCTTAGTCAACTTACTCTGGAGTGTTCACAGACCTGCTTTCACTGTTCCAATATGGTGGAAGGACGGCTTATGTATAGTGGCCAATAGAAACAGACACTAATGAGGCACCTAAGTATATTTATCATTTTTGATGTAGAAAGGCCTTTAGTGTAACAAATAGTCCTGGCCCTCTGGCCCTAACCCAGCGTTCTGTAAAATACATTATTTTATGTTCTGCAGAAGAAAGTAAATCAAACAGGGGTGGGTAGGGTTGCCAACTGTCCCATATTAGCCGGGACGTCCCGTATATTGGGCCTAATTGATTTGTCCCGTACTATTTGTCCCGTTTATTGACTGCTATGCTGATCAGGACACTTGAAAATGATCACCACACCTTGTCATCATGCAGTTACAGCCCCCTCACACGCATGATCAGTATGCGTTAAGTAAATCACAAATTGTGAACATAACAGTTCGAGGAAGGCTTAAGACAAAGTGGAATCCTCTGATGGCTGGTTGCTTCCGAATTCACAGCGAGTGGGACTCGCACTAACGCCAGTTACCGTCACCGTCAGTGCGTTTTGTTTTCAGCAAATCCGTTTTGGCGAATGCAAATAACGTGATTATTTTTCATGACTCCAACATCCAGCCGCGCAAGAAAACATGTAGGCTAATCTACCCGAGGGAAGACGTGATCAATAAGGGACTATTGCAATGTTAAATAGAGAAAAACATTTTACATTTAAGTAACATCTAGCATATTCTTTAAGTTTGGACCTTATTCTTGAAACACAAAATGACAAATAAAAAAAGTGTCAAGCACCAAAAGCAGCCCATATTAAATCTAATATGTTCTCTTTGATAAAAAAATTTAATAAAATAAATAATATATGCACTAAAAAATGCTGGGTTGTTTCAACCCAACTTTAGGTCAAATATGGACTAACCCAACTTTTGGTTTAAAAATGTAATGTAAAAATTTAACCCAACGGTTGGGTTAGTCCATATTTGACCCAAAGTTGGGTTGAAACAACCCCGCATTTTTTAGAGTGTATATACAGTATATATACATATATTAATTTCTACGAAAAACCTCGATTGTCTTGTATTTTCCTTTTGTGAAGTTGGAAAACCTAGGGGTGAGTTTCCCAAAAGCAAGTATGGTGGCAAATTTTGTCGTTACCAATAGAGTTCAATGGAACTTACCCCCATAGTTAGTTAACGATGCTTTTGGGAAACACACCTCAGGTTTGGAACAACATGAGGGTGAGTAAACAATGACAGAATTTTCGTTTTTGGGTGAACTATCCCTTTAGTGGTGGGATTTTTGAGCGGGGTTACATTGTTACGCCAGTATGTGGCGAAAAATGTATTATGAGCGAGTCATTGAATCATTAATACAATTGTTAAACGAATTCTGCGGAAGAGGGAAGGACACGCCATTACTGTGTTGCTCAGAGACGCTAACCGTCCATCCTGCGTTGGCTTTGTGTGGACCTGGCAATAAAATGTAAGTTACTCAGTATTATCTTCACTGAAGTGTTTTGTCAAATCAAAATTACTCAGTCCTTACCACGAGAAGATCATCTCCATGCTGATCTTTGGAACTACATCACTCTTGGTTGATATCGCGTAACGTTAACTGTCCATAATAAAATCATCGTAGGCATAGAACAACATTTTCATATCGAAGCATCACTAATTGTATCATTTAACTAGTTCTAATTAATCGTAGTAGGCTCGCATTGAAATGTGTGTGTTGTTTCTTGAACACGGTTATGTTTTTGTGAATTATTCGTTTATCAACAAGTGGAGTGAGCTGAAGGCATTCGAGTTTCTTTCTTAATCAGAGACCATCACAGGAGCTATTGGAGGACAACAGTTTCATATGAGTTGTGATTCAAGAACTTTTCCTAGGTTACGATTCATGGAGGTAGTTTGAAGAACGGTCTGATCTATAATATGCGCTGCAGCGGACCGATGAAACAGAAACACAAATGCAGAGAAGATAGAAAGGACGACAGAGCGTATACATTAAAGGTAGCCGATCTTCTCACTCACCAGGCTGGATTCAAATATGAAATATATTCCTCTTAGTCCGGTTATTGCGATCTGCCTCCTTTTGGAAACATACGTGACCTCCTCGAGCAAACGGCACAAAAACAGCTGTAAGCCAAAAGCAAGGTCATGGGACCGGTGGTTCGTGATCAACGGTGTTACACTGCGATCTGCTGGGATGAGGTGGTATTGCCAGTAGACATACAGGATTCGTCCTCAAGGGGGCGCCTGCATTCAAATCTCTGTAGGAGTTTGTGTTTTAAAGGGGTCATATGATGCGATTTCAAGTTTTCCTTTCTCTTTGGAGTGTTACAAGGTGATTGTGCATAGATAAGATCCCTGAAGTTGCAAAGACT